CCTTATCTCATTATGTACAATATTCTCACTTTTCGGTCGAGCATCGTGCCTTTCTTGCAGCCATATCAGCTACCAAGGAACCAGGTTCATTTCGAGAAGCTGTTTCTGATCCTCGTTGGAGAGAGGCTATGCAGCGCGAGATATCTGCACTCGAACGCACTGGCACGTGGACGCTTACTCCATTGCCACCTGGTAAAAGGGCGATCTATTGTAAGTGGGTTTATAAAATAAAATATAAATCTGATGGGACAATAGATCGTTATAAGGCGAGATTGGTTGTTTGTGGCAATAGACAGGTGCAGGGAATTGATTATTCTGAGACGTTCGCTCCAGTTGCTAAAATGGTAACCGTGCGTACTCTGTTGATGGTGGCGGCATCTCGCCACTGGGAGCTCCATCAAATGGACGTCGATAACGCTTTTTTGCACGGTGATCTCCACGAGGAAGTATACATGCATTTGCCTCCGGGATATTCTGCATCTACATCCGGTCAGGTTTGTCGTCTTTTACGATCACTATATGGATTGCGCCAAGCTCCCAGATGTTGGTTTTCCAAATTGACAGGTTCTTTAAAACAATATGGTTTTGAACAATCGCATGCCGACTACTCCTTGTTTACTCTTCGCCGTGGAAATAATATATTATGTGTTTTGGTGTATGTTGATGATCTGCTTATCACGGGTAATAATCATGACATGATTGTTGCCTTCAAGCATTACTTGGCATCTTCTTTCCCTATTAAAGATTTGGTCCGGTTAAAATATTTTTTGGGACTGGAAGTGGCACGCAATTCTACAGGAATTTTCTTATGCCAACGCAAATATGTTTTGGATATCTTGGCTGAAACAGGACTGACCGGGGCCAAGCCAGTTGGTTTCCCTATGATTCAGAATCACAGTTTACAATCTAATTCTGGCCCACTATTTTCTGATCCGGAACGGTATCGCAGGCTTGTCGGTAAACTTATCTATCTTACGTTGACTCGGCCAGACATCTCTTATTCTGTTCATATTCTTTCTCAATTTATGCATCAACCACGTCAGGCTCATTGGGATGCGGTCGTTCGAGTCTTACGATATCTTAAAGGTCATCCGGGTCAGGGTATTTTACTTTGTTCCTCTTCTGATCTTTCACTAACTGGATTTTGTGATTCGGACTGGGCGAGCTGTCCCATCACCCGTCGGTCAGTTACGGGATATTTGGTTCTCCTTGGTGGCTCTCCTATCTCATGGCGAACCAAGAAGCAAGTTACTGTGTCTCGTTCTTCAGCTGAAGCAGAATATCGCTCTATGGCTACTCTCACGTGTGAGCTTATTTGGTTGAAGAATTTGTTACATTCTTTGGGAGTGGTCCATCAATCTCCCATACCGGTTTATTGTGACAACAAAGCTGCCATTCACATTGCGTCCAATCCGGTTTTTCATGAACGCACCAAGCATATTGAGCTTGATTGCCACTTTATCCGTGATCACATTCAAGCTGGTCTCATCACTCCTTTATATCGGACTACCACAGAACAACTTGCTGATCTTTTTACTAAGGCCCTTGGTGCATCTCAGTTTTCTTATCTACTTACCAAGATGGGCATTATTGATCCTCATGCTCCATCTTGAGGGGGGATGTTGATGTATATTATTATACCGAGTATTATTGCATGTGCATTATCCAGCCGTAGAAGTGGACTCTAGTTGGGAACTTTTTTGTAAATAATGTTGTTTTAATATTTTGTATTTAATCTCCTCCTAGTTTATAGGATCTATATAGTGGTAGTTCAACCCATACGGTCATGTAGAATCCGTATGTAGAATTGTAATATATAGAGGTTTCCTCTGACAGATAATGACAACGAACGATTCTCACATATCGGTTTTATTATATTACGAATGATTTTTCAGAGTTGATTTGGTTTTTATAAGACATGAAATTGTGATATAAGTTCATATATGTAACTGCCATTATCTTGATTGAGTTTGGGAAAATCATAAAATGTGGTGCGTGTCAATGTAAGTTACTATAAGGTGTAATGTTTTTAAATTCGATGCTTATGTACATTAGTAATTAAAAAGGTGTTTGAATTGATTGCTCGTTGAAGTACAGAAAGAGGCCTAATATCGAGCTATTGTCGCCACAGTTGTTGAGCTCAGTTGAAGATAACTTCTTTTACTTAATCTTTGTCAATCACTCTTATGTACTCCTATACTCTTTTGTGACAATTCCAATGCTATTTTCTCATTAAAAACTGGTTTTACTACCCGTTCCAAGCATATTCACATTGATTTTAACTTGTCTATGAAAATGTGGATGCCCGTGAATTAAACATTGGCCATATCAATACTCAAATAACTTTCATTATCGATATTTGGTGATTTCTTGAACACGTTTTTACATAATAATAGATTATTTGTGCACACATACAATTCAGTCAAAAAAATAATCAATGTAATCTAAATTTTGTGTACATTAAAAAATGGGGGAAACTGTTAATTTGGTTCTCGTACTTTCATGAAAAACTCAATTAGGTTTTCGTACTTTTGAAAAGATCAATCAAGTCCCCGAACTTTGTAAAAACGTTCAATTGAGTACATTTGCAGGTTACTTGTCATGTCAGCAGGTCACCTGTTGACGTGATACACATGTGGCAACCCAATTATCAATAATTTTGCTGACGTGGCACACATGTGGAAGTCTAGTCAGCCATTTGTTGATTGATCTTTTTAAAAGTACAAGGACGTAATTGACTTTTTCATAAAAGTACGATGATCAAATTGACAATTTTCCCTTAAAAAATGTAGAGTGGTGTGTGCACGAAGAACGGCCGAAAACAATTTTTTACTCAATAAGTAACATTTGTTTTCAAATGATCTTAGACCCCACATTATTCGGTAGTGTCAGTTCTGTATAGCAAAGTTATTTACTTATTACTCGTCCCGTTCAAATAAAGCTCAGTTTGGTACAAGAAAGCTAAAATTATGAGTATGCAATTTGACAAAAAAAAAAGTATGGGATTTTAACTCATAAATTTCGATTTATATCCACGTACTACTAGAGATATTATTAAATGCATCGTTAACATATGCTGTACATCCTGATTTAGGTGAACCTCATAGGATACACTTGAACCTTCTTTGTTATGATACGTAACTTGCCAAATTCCAAAACAAAAGGTTACGTTGTAGAGTAGTGGATAATTAAACACTTGAAGTCTTGAACATTCGTTGTTTTTTGAGACAGAAGGGGGGACATTTTTTTTGAATGAAAAGGGGAGACATTCTAAAACAAGTTTTTTCTTATTAACAGACGATTAGTTACGTTTTTTGTTTTTAAAAATGTGACTAGTCTTTAAAGAGTACTTAAAGAAATTCAATTGAAATATCTTTCCCCGGCTGCCCAGCTAAGAGTGACGTAAAAGGTTTATTATTACCAATAAGCAACATAATATAAAGTATTAAACACTGAATATATATATAGAACTAGAGATTATAAAAAGTAATTAAACATTGTTTTCCGGATTCAATTTTAAATTGAATTAGTTTTGTGGATATAATCTACAATTCATAAAACATTATAAAAGCTTTAATAAAAATTCCATTGAGAACCACCTATGGCAAATCCTGTCAAACTAGTATGAAAGAATCATTCTCATCAACAATTATTAAAAGATCGTTGAGCAAATGACAAATCATTCATCCAACCAAAACGCGGTAATAATGAATTCATAGTTTTAAATTATTTTAATATTATACGTAGTACTCCTTAGTAAAATTGAATTCATCATGTGTACGAATTCAGCAGCACCTCCAGTCGGAAAATTACAAAGTCAATTTTACTATCATTCGTAATATTACAGAGATTAAAAATGTATTTAGGCCTTAATTAATAAAAAGTCTAACTTTAATGATTGAAGTCAATAGCTACTTTACGTGAAAATCATGAAAAACAAGAAACATTAAATATTTGCTTAAAAACGTTTGTTTAGAGAGTTTCTAAAAAGTTTCTGCAGAATTTGTGAAAATGAAAACGTACTCTTTCTCGAAAAACATAATTTAATAGTCATGGTTAGGTGAAGGTTAATTAGGCCGATCGATATTGAACTATCAACTATGAAAACATATTACCAAAATCATGACTAAACACAAGGAAATTCATATTTTAACTCTTAGCTAATTTATTTGAGCTTTGTCTTAAAAAATCACAAAAATAAATTTTGTGAATAAAAAAATGATTAAAATTTCTATTTGTACATATTCATGGCACTGGAGTAGCTAAGAGAAATCTAGACCCCGGCTAACCCCAAATTTAATGAATGTCTTTATTATTTGTGTAAAAATTTTCATGTATATTTTATTGAAGCAGCCCACTCTTTTGGCTACGCCTCGATTCATGGTGATTACTCTATATAATTAAACATAATATACAACTAAAAACTACTACGGAGTATTATAATCACTATGAATGTATAAAAAAAAGTCTCATATTTATTCATTGCTATACTTGGTCATATATTAATTATTATTTCACTTTATTTTCGTACGCATGCAGTGACGTGTTTTACATAATTATTTAAAAACTATTATTGAATATGGAGTATTAAAGGTAACTTAATTCATTTGTCGGTTAGACAAAGATGACATATTAGATGACATACCAAGTTGAGGTGAAAAAAGATGGAAGTGTATAGAGTTTTGCACCCGGGTTCAACAATTACGCTTTCGGCGCCGTGGTACGTCTATGTCCATCCACGTAACCAAAGTCCAAAGTTAGTAGTGACGACCCACGATCAACTTTGGTTTTTCTTGCCTATTTTATTCAAGGCATGGCCTAGTTGTGGCGTTATGGGTGATTATTGGGGCACTGTACTGTATTTAGAATATTTTATTTATGGTCATGTAATCTTTTTATTTATTGTGGTAGTGTTTGATTAGGAATATTTTTCCTTTTTTATGTTTTACCGATGCAAATAAATCGGACCCATGCTGTATAAGAACAAGGGGGATCACATCGAATAACATAAGGGATTATACTTTCTTCTTTTCCTTTGTTTTCTAATATTCTATTACGTGTATTTAGAAAGTTGTCATGGTATCAGAGCATTCGTGATTTGCTTCCGCAATTATGGCGAATGGAGAAGAAGAATTGAAGTCTGGAGATGCTAGAAAAGTAGCCATCCCAGGAGCATCACGTAGCAGGTCTTCTACCGAAGTCCATGCTGCACTTTCTGAATGCATGCATAAAACACTGACTGTTGGGGAAGGTAGTAGCGGCCAGTCCACACTTTTGCCTGGTTTTACACCTGAGCAATGGAATACATTGTTATCAGTCTCTGGTAATCCGTCCCCCTCTAATGATCATATGATCGGCAAGTTTGATAAGAATGCATGGATTATTGATACAAGTGCCACTAATCATGTGTGTGGAAATTTGACGGTTTTACGCCAAATTAAATCTATCGAGCCTTGCTCTGTTGGTTTACCTGATGGACAGACTGTTATGGCTACTCAAGAAGGGCGTGTAATACTGTCAGATAATTTTTATTTGAATAATGTTCTTTATGTACCTGAGTTGAACTGCAATCTTATATCGGTATCCCAAATGAGTGATCAACTTGATTGTTTTGTTCAATTCACTTGTAACTTGTGTGTTATACAGGATCGTCTCTCGAGAAGGCTGATTGGAACGGGTGAACGGAGAAATGGACTGTATTATCTTCGCGAGGAATCTTCAGCGCAGATTTTAGCAATAAGAGAATCGAAGAATTTGTTTGTGAACTTATGGCATCAAAGGTTGGGACATCCATCTTCACAAGTGGTTGAACATTTGGATCCTGTAAGTGGTGTGAAGGTTATTGGAAATTCACCATGTGATGTCTGTTTTAAGGCTAAACAAACTAGGGATTCTTTTCCTACTAGTAGTTTGAATAAAACACATGACATTTTTGAATTGATACATTGTGATTTGTGGGGTCCATACAATACTCCATCTTCGTGTGGTGCTAGACTTTTTTTGACCATTGTGGATGATTATTCTCGTGCTGTGTGGGTTTATCTGCTTGTAGATAAAAAGGAAGTTTTTAAAATGTTCCTTTCTTTTGTTGCTATGGTGGAACGTCAGTTCTCTAAGAAAATTATTACTGTGAGAAGTGACAATGGGACAGAATTTAATTGTCTGAAAGATTTTTTCCGGAATAGTGGAATTGTTTTTCAGACATCTTGTGTTGGCACGCCACAACAAAATGGCCGGGTTGAGCGTAAACACCGGCATATTTTGAATGTAGCCCGTGCTTTGAGATTTCAGGGACATTTGCCTATTTCTTTTTGGGGTGAATGTGTTCTTACCGCATCTCATCTCATTAACCGGACCCCTTCCGCTATACATAATTTCAAAACACCTTATGAAATTTTATTTGGTGTACCACCATGTTACCAGTCTCTGCGTGTTTTTGGATGCCTGTGTTATGCTTATAATATGAGGTCCAGAAGTGACAAATTTCTCAGTCGCAGCAGAAAATGTATTTTTTTGGGTTATCCGTTTGGCAAGAAAGGATGGAATGTTTATGATATTGAGACTCGGGAATACTTTATATCACGTGATGTCAAATTTTTTGAGAATATATTCCCATTTGCTAATTCTTTTCCACCCTCTGAGCATCCTCCTGAAGCAATTGATTTTCCCCCCCATGATTACTTTGATTTGACGGCACTTGGGTTTCCTCCCACTTTCAATGCAAGTACTGCTACGGAAATGTCTTCTACTCCCACGCAGTCCGCTACTTTGGACACTCAGCTCCAGCATGATATGCCACCGGTCACTGAGGAAGCTTCCCAGCCAGCGAGTTCTGAGACATCTGCTACAAGGACCATGTCACCGGCCACTAAGGAATCCGCCCAGCCAACTGATTTGGGGCGCGGGCAGCGTACACGGGTGCCATCTGTACGCCTTAAGGACTACGTTACTCACACAATTATTAAAAACAGTCCATTCTCCGTTCCTCCTGTTTCGTCGCCCTCTTCCGGTACGCCGTTCCCTATAACTCATTATGTTGCTTGTGATAAATTTTCTCCGAAACATGTAGCTTATTTGGCAGCTCTTGACTCTATAACGGAGCCCCGAACATTCCATGATGCTGTTAAACATAATGGATGGCGTCAGGCTATGCGTGACGAAATTGCAGCCCTTGAAAAGAATTCTACTTGGAGTCTTGTTCCCTTGCCTACTGGCAAACGAGCCTTAGGGTGTCGATGGGTTTATAAAGTTAAACATAAATCTGATGGCAGTGTTGAACGCCTTAAAGCCCGACTGGTTATTTTTGGTAATCGACAAGTAGCTGGTCTGGACTATACCGAAACTTTTGCTCCAGTTGCTAAAATGGTTACTGTGCGTGCGTTTCTTGCTATTGCCGCTTGTAAAAACTGGGAACTTCATCAAATGGATGTGCACAATGCATTTCTTCATGGCGATCTACATGAAGAAGTATACATGACTATTCCTCCTGGCTACACCACCACCGACTCATCTCTGGTGTGTCGCCTCCATAAATCTCTATATGGCCTTAAACAAGCTCCGCGATGTTTGTTCGCAAAATTGGTCACCGCACTTAAGGCATATGGTTTTCTCCAGTCTTATGCTGATTATTCTTTGTTTACACTTAACCGTGGTATTATTCAGCTTAATGTACTGGTGTATGTGGATGATCTTCTTATCTCTGGAAATGACAGTGCCGCCATTGCTGGATTTAAATCATATCTTCATACTTGTTTTCATATGAAAGATTTGGGCACTCTTAAATATTTTCTTGGTATTGAGGTAGCCCGTAGCTCCTCTGGCATATTTCTCAACCAGAGAAAGTACGCACTTGATATCATTACTGAAACTGGTCTTTTGGGAGCCAAACCGGCCTCATTCCCGATTGAACAAAATCATGATCTGGGAAGTGCTTCCGGCCCACTACACCCAGATCCTGAACAATATCGTCGTCTCATTGGTAGGCTCATTTATTTGGCTGTTACTCGCCCAGATATTACATATTCCGTCCATATCTTATCTCAGTTTATGCAAAATCCTTGTGCTGAACATTGGTCTGCTGCCTTACGAGTAGTTCGCTACCTCAAGGGTTCTCCGGGTCAAGGCATCCTTCTTCGTGCTGATAGTGATCTCACTCTCACTGGATGGTGTGATTCAGACTGGGCCGCCTGCCCTATTACTCGTAGATCTCTTTCGGGCTGGTTGGTGTTTCTTGGTCACTCACCTGTCTCATGGAAATCTAAAAAACAATCTACTGTTGCTCGTTCATCTGCCGAGGCTGAATATCGCTCCATGGCAGCTGCCACATGTGAGCTTAAGTGGCTCAAGGCCCTCCTATTGAGTTTGGGTGTTCAACATCCTCATGCTATCCCCCTTTACTGTGACAGTCAGTCTGCTCTTCATATTGCTCACAATCCGGTTTTCCATGAACGCACTAAACACATTGAAGTGGATTGTCATTTTGTTCGTGATGCTATACAGGCTCATCTTATTGCTCCCAGCTATGTTCCTACCACTGTTCAGTTAGCCGATATTTTTACCAAAGCTCTTGACAAAACTCAATTTCATAATCTTATGCACAAGTTGGGCATTCTGGATCCCCATGCGCCAACTTGAGGGGGGGTATTGGGGCATTGTACTGTGTTTAGAATATTTTATTTATGGTCATGTAATCTTTTTATTTATTGTGGTAGTGTTTGATTAGGAATATTTTTCCTTTTTTATGTTTTACCGATGCAAATAAATCGGACCCATGCTGTATAAGAACAAGGGGGATCACATCGAATAACATAAGGGATTATACTTTCTTCTTTTCCTTTGTTTTCTAATATTCTATTACGTGTATTTAGAAAGTTGTCAGTGATCCAAACTCAACCCAAGATATTTACTCTATGGGTGAGTCACTTGAGTTGAGGTAGATTAAGATCCTTAGCTAGCGTGCCTTAGTGTGCAAGGCAGAGTGTCTTGCGCAAGAGACGGTCTCATAGTCGAGATACGCGAAAAAGTGAATCTCAAATATCTCTCGATCGGACGGTCTACGATCTCTCGATCAGATACCCTGTCTTGCTGCTAAAGCAAGACAGAGACTCGAATTCAGTTGAGGTTCACCCAAACTCGATTGAACTGGACCCAAATATAATCATATGCAATTAATTTGATCAAAACCATAATACGTGAGCTCAATAAAATTGCAACGAATTTAAAAGATCAAGAAGAAACGAGTATTATATTTTCATTTATAAACAAATTCTAACCAGGTAAACAAATTTGAGATTATAAATTTGAGATTATTTTTTACTCCATAGTAAATAGAGTTGTGGTTTGATGATTTTAATAGTAATATCGTTCAAAAAAATAGTAATATACGAGTCATGCTAATATGTCATTTTACTGATTTATTTTTACATTCGGGATGTTTATATTGGATGATTATTCTCATGATATGTGCATACATCTTATATACGAAGTAAAATGGATGAATTGATGAAATAGTGAAGTCCGATCCCCAAGACTTTTCATGAGTTTGGTACGGTGACTATCGATTTATATTGTAGCTACGTAACACAGTAAGACAACTTTGAGGGGATCTAAATCTCACAATTATGTCTACCTAATGCATACTCACCAATAAGCTACTAAATAATTTTTCAAAATAAATTTTGTGCTATTTGAAATTATTAAAAATTGCTTATCTAATCATTATGACAATAAATAGAGATTAGGATCCACAGGATTACATTTGTGAAGAGAAGAGATCATTCGTGAGGTGAGCTAACTTGTTAAATTGGCGTATAATTTGGAAGTAGCTAGTATGCCATACTTAAATTTCTCTACTCGATCTCATTTTATTTGGTATCTATTACGAATATATGTCACTAATGACATGACAAATACTTCCCTAAGTTCTAAAGTCAATTGCAATGATGTTAATGCAAAGCACAAACATCAGAAACATTACCAATTCAATGATACCTCTCGACGTTAAGAATGTTTTCAATATATTAGACTGAAATTTGGTGGTTTGAATTGATTTAATATAATCTGTTTAAGTGTGATATTGTCTGATTGTATTTGATCTGATCTCGTGAACGTCTGGTCTCTGTGTATTTTATAACTATGTAAGTCTGGTCTGCTCTGTTTAAGTTTGGTCTAACCCGATCTGTTTAGAGATCCGATATGTTTTGGTTTGATCTGATCTGAGACTAAAAAACAATCCAAGTAAAAATATTGTAAGAGATTCGACCCCACCAAAAACCTACTCATTCCGTCTTATTGAACTTTTTTCATTTTTGGTTTGTTTCAAAATATTTATCACTTCTCTTTCAAAGAGAATGATTATAAATCAAGTCATTGTTTAAAGTTGAATTCTCACCTTTCACTTGTAGCGCCCTCTTCCAAGACCGGTGAGCTACGCTCCCCTGGTATCAAGAGAAACCTACCATTCCGACTAAAGTGCCTCATTGTAGCTTGTTTCAGTTCTTTGACTTGGAGACAAAGGTTGTATCGATATAACTTGTGATGTGCATTATTTATCTGTGAATCTTTAAAAAAATTATAAACTTTTAAACTCATAGATATTTTATGAATGAACACTGTTGATTTGCATAAATCTATGCATTTTATATGAATGATAAATATTTATCAATTTCATTAAAAATACAAGTTTAGAATTTAAACAAGAACTGTATTAATGATTAAAAAACAAGAACTATATTAAGTAACACTGATAATTAAGTCCAAATCTGATAAGAAGTCAACTACTTCGTACATGATTCCACAAAATGATACGGAGTAAGAAACAATTGCACGGAGTATAAATTAAATGTAACTTTAAAGTATTTCGCTAAATCCAAAGGGTTTCAATTCATTTCTAGATGAATCATACTATAGCGAGTTAATAACGTATTTCACTATTTTGAAGTGCTATGGCCTTGATCAGTTTTTGCTAATTCAATAAAATTGAAACATGTTTACTATCTCGACCTAGCAACGTAACGTTTTATTTACTGTAATCAATTACATTAATTTATATATTTTTGTAAATGTTATCAATTTCATATTTATACTTTCGTGTGAAGGCAATTTTAACAAATAATATTTTCGTGTTTCAAATAGTTTTATGTACGTCCAGATTTCACATTATTGACCGGGTTTCTATAAACAAACATCATACTACAAGTCTACAACGTCCATAAAAGAAATAAAGAAGGGACCTCGATACTATTTGACATTTTTACTTTCACATTTTCTTGAATGTAAGGAATTATTACACTTTAAAAAAATTGGAATCATGGCTACTTGAAATTATAGAATTGTTTATGATAAATGAATAAGTCAATGATCGAAATAGAATAATGTAAAACTAAAGTCTTGTAGCTGAAATTGCTAAAACGCCATTTTCCACGGGGCAAAAGAGTAAATGTGAGGAGAATACCGGCGGTGTCAAAGCCGACGTGGCGACGTATCCCATAACTACCATGATGTGTCAGATGACGGTGGCTGATCCCAAAAATGTCATCCACTTCCAACTTACGCTCCTCCGCCGGCCACCTTTTATGTGTTTCTCCCATCTTTACGTCACTTTATAATTTTATATTCCTTTCCATCTTTTATTTTCTTGGAAAATGTTGTGTGTACATTTTACAGTGTTCACTATTCATAGATTTTACTCCCTCCGTCCCTATTATATCTTCCAAATAGGTTTGGCACAGAGTTTAAGATAGTGGGTATTGTGTGGTGGAGAGTTGTGCAGAGGAGAGAGAAATGTGTAAGAATTGCTGTGAACCACAAATTCTGACCAAAAAAGGAAAGTGGAAGTTTTAATTGGGACGGACGAAAAAGGAAAGTTGGAAGTTTATTTAGGGACGGAGGGAGTATCTGTTTATGTAGAGAAAGTTCTATGTGGAAAGAACTCTGGTATTTCGCGAAGAATTATCATTATACAAACAACTTTGATTGTCTAGATAGACAAGGTGTGTGCAGGGGCGGAGCCAGGACCGATGTTTACCCTGGGCCGACTATACACTAAAACATTATATAAAAATTTAAAAACGACAATAGTGTTAACATAATGATTAAAATTCATTAAAATTCATACTAATATTTTAAACAATGCATACAATGTTTGAAACTAAAACGTTAATTGAACACGACGCTCTTTGACCTTAGCAAACTCATCTATGACAGACTCAACGTCAATTTTGTTGGCAAATTCCTTTTCAATAAAGATGGTCAAACGATCGACAAGAAATTTATCTTTCATCTTATTACGAATTTCATTCTTCACGAGTTTCATTGCAAAAAATTTCATTTTTCACGAGGTCCAAGCATCAAATAAGATCGTCTAATTTCATCTCTTTTCTCTAACGGCCAATCTCGTTTTTCATTTTTCCGGATCCCGCTCAATTTCAAGTGCATCTGAAACTACTTCCTCTTGAGCGAATGAGATGTTCGGAGTTTCAATTGAGACATTTAACTCTTGTCTACTTTGTGTGCTTGTATTAGGCTTATAAAACGAACGCAATGTGATTTTTGCCTTTTTGAAAGTAGATTGAGTAGCCATACCTACTACAATTACCAAAAAAGAATAAAACAAATCAATATTATATTTTAATTCATATAAATATAACTCATATTAATATTTAAAAAAATTCACATATAACATTTAATATTCCTAATTTTCTATTTTAAAATTCAAAGCACCCAATTACACAAATCAAACTAAGTCACAAATACAAACTTATTTAACAAAATGACAAATAAAACAATTAATTAATCTAAAAATTGTAAAAACGTAAAA